TGCAAAAGGATACAAGTAACCGAAGCTGGTAATTCGGTTGCTCAAGTGGTCTTATATAGTTGCGACAACCGTCACACCACCCTGCTTCTAATAACCCCTTTTCTACAACAAAAACTTAGAAAAAATGCCCCAAATTAGTATATAAAATCTGGTCGTATAGCTTTATACTACAAAGCTCGGGCCACCTGTCATATGCACCGTACAGCCATCTGCACCGCCCTCGAGCCTTTTCATACAGCCATTTGAATTTCAAAGACTATCCTGGATTTGCAATGATAGGGCTCTTTTAGGTAGGTTATAGGGCAAAAGCGTCGCACGAATGCGCTGAGCCCCCCGTAGCTACAGGGCGTTGCAGGGTACAGGAGGTAAATGTACGGCATGAACTGCGTTTTTGAGCATGTATACATTTTATCGATTTGTACGATTATGCCGGAAAATGTACGATTTTTTGGCCATATATAACCCTAACCCGGGCAAGGCTATGCAAGGCTAATATTAGGGGGTCGCAGATTACTTTTTCTTACGGCAGCCGACCAAACGACCCGACTTTTGTACGGTTTTCGCAAAAAAGCGGTCGTACAGACCCCTTTATACGGCAACCGTACCAGAACAAACGCAGCCCAAGTGTGAATGGCAGATGCGCATGACTCACTGTCACACATCATGATGGAATTCAGCAGAAAAGATACGGTGGCTAGTACTTCGTCTGTCTGTCTTCTTTTCGGTGGCTCCTCTTGTTCCTCCGTTCTTCTGGATTATGGCTCCGTCAGGCACCTCTTGCACCAAACACGGTCAAACTATTAGGTGGGCCAAAACTCAGGCTGACTCCTTTTTCGGGATAGCCTTAAGAGATTTGAATCTCGCAACTACCACTAACACTTGCACCATTCTCCACCAACTTTGTTCGAAAATGGCGGGCGGTTTCCGTGGACATGCAGCGGTCTGGCTTGGGCTTGGTGATGGGGGCAAATATCAGGTTATCTGCAAAGTACCTCTAGGTACCGTAGGTGGATTACAATGCCAAGTTATCAATCCATTTTCCAATATTTGCGGCCGAAAACAGTGTTCAAGTTGTGCTATCTGGCGTTTTACCGCCGCGATCGAGGGAATGCTAGTTCAGGAAGACCGGGATAGCTTCATGTTATATAAACCAGCATTATGTCGCCAACACCTTGGTGCCCCTACATGTCCATGCTGCATTATCACCGAGTATCAAGTTTCCTAAGCAGCTTGTAATAACACCGGAGCTCCGGTGCAACATTCAACTCCGTAGATGCCAGGACCACAAAAGGACAAGTTTCCCCTTCTTCGGTCTTGAGGTGAGCCAGTGCCAGGTGTCTCTTTCCAACATTGACTCGTTTGCCCTCTTAGCATCCAGTGAGGCCTCCGTCATCCCGAACATCCCAATCAGTTCATTGCCTCTGGAAAGAGCAACCACGAACCGAGAAAGCACCTATCAACCAGACTCTGAATCACTCTCGTCAAGATGAAGCCGCACCCGTCCTCGCCCCCGCTCATTCTCCTTTCCCTCTCCGTCGTCTTCCTCCTAGGCCTTTTACCCGTGGCATCTGCCCTAGCCGTGCTCCCGCCGACAGCTCTCCATGATCAGAACTCTCTACAGGCTATCAACTACGATGGCAACGATAGTCAGGATGTTCGCCGTGCAGTAGGCATCAATACCCTCCCTGACGAACCCATCGCTGCTGCTCCGACAGTCATCGAGCACACCGAAATCCCGGTCGGCGTATCTCCCCCTTCAACGAGTGCACCTAGCACGGGCTGCACAACGAGCAAATTGACCAAGTCAATTCCCAAGATCTGGACCTCCACAGTCACAGCAGCTAAGAACTTCCCTAGCACCCTCTACAACTTCATCAAAGCCAGCCACCCCGAGCGGCACCCACGCTTCGCAGGAAGAGCAGCAGGTGCGAAGCGAGACCTGAACCAGGAAGATCCCAAATTTGTCAGAAGCAGTCGAACACGCCTGTAAAAATTTTGTTGACGTTGGAAAGGCTGTATTCTGGCTCATCGACATGGAAGAGTGGGCGGAGAGGCACTTTGCCTCCTGTTACACGGGTGGTAGTAGCCAGTCGAAGAAGCGGGATCTGATGAAACATGGACACGAAGAAGACGGCCATGGCCATGTGGTGCATGTCAAGCGGGACGTGAAAGAGGTCAACCAGGCCTACTATCCTGGATATAATAAGGATCAAGGGAACCATAGACTTGGTACGCGTGAAGCCGAGATGAATCCGGTAGTTAAAGAGATTAGGGAGACTATACTATCCATCCTTCAGCCGTTGCTGAAGGGATGGAATAGGTAGATAACGAGAGAACAGATGAAAAGAGACGACATAGGCGGCGGAATTCTGCATGGTGCTATGTTTATGATGGGTGCACGGACTTTTGGAAGGGATGGGTGAGAGTCGGGAGACATTGAGGGCGTTGAAGATGGTGTTGATAGTTTGTTAGTGAATTAGCGCTGGACACATCAAATGTAGTGGGTCACGCTAACACTTATTGCACTTCAAAGGGTGTCCGAAAAGTGGGACCGAGAGAAAGCCGGACACCTCACAGCGCTGGCCTGACCGGAGGGATGCTGCCATCTTCGTTGTAACTCTGGGGCTTATTTCCAGTCAATCGCAATTAATGGTACAAAGAAGATGGTCCCTATGCGTATGTCAACGTTAATACCACCTCTGATTCATGCAATGATGTCTTTGTCCAATGATCAACTAGAGGTAGCTGTGGGTCATGACGAACAGGAATCACTCCCCTTGACCAACCATGGTTCTCTTGTATCCTTCGCCTTTCCTTGCTTCAAATCTTCCCACTGACCTGTCTATGGATTCCGGTTCCAAATACCCCCATCGTTGTTCCTGGTCTTTCCAATCCAGTCAACACCTCATCTCCACCCGGGCCATGTCAAATGCTCGAAACTCCACCGGGTCCCCCACCAGCATGACCACCGACGACGGAAGCAACCTCGAACCAGAACCATATCCTTTCCACCGGCCACCGCCCCATGACGTACTCGCTGTCATTGGAGTTTTCGGTTTCCTGATCATCCTTATAGTGTTGGGGCTGATTCGGAAGTCTGGCTGTTGGGAACGACGAAGGCTGGTAAGGAGGATGCGTGAGGATGACGTTGTTCGTGCGGGTTGACACTCGGGGACAGTAGAAGGAAAATTCCATGACATTTCCAAGCTTCGACAAAAGATATACACACATTCCTCACGGTCAAATAATGATAATGTTGGAGTGATCCCGGGCTGATTAGTATCAGGGTAGGTAACAGAAGAACGTCACTAGGGCTAAAAAAAGTCTGCTGCGAGAACTTGAACCGTACGACATGCAAAAGGTCAAAAAGGGGGAAAGAAGCAAAAAGTATACCCCACCAGGGATTCGAACCCTGGGCTGCGTTACTTGTATAGTCGTTAGCGTTGGAGTATGATGCGCTGTGTTAGACCACTACACCAGCGGGGCGTCGCTAAGTTTATTAATAATGGAAGGAAAGGGGAAGGCTATAAAGAATGGTTCGTATTCTGTGTACAGCTAGGAAGGTGCGGGGTCGATTGGCCCTGTCTGGTTTTGTGTCGGAGGTTCGATGTGGAAGGAGCGGTTTGTCAAAGACGAGGTAACGGGATTCTGGTAGCTGCCAGGATTGCACTTGTGGTTGAAGATAAGGTAGCAGATCTGGACGGTGGGCGGGTTTTGTGATTCCGGTCATTGTAGGGATACAACATTTCACAGTCACGTACTGAACACCAGGTTAAACAAGCAGAACGCTGTCGTTCCAACTAATACCAAATTCCATTCGTTGTTCAAGATCCCGAAGCTGTCAAGCACGGGAATCTCGAGGTGGGAGTGCATACAATACATAGTACTTGATAAATAACTCAAAATGAGTAAAACAAAAAGGAAGAAAGTGAACAGAGATCAGAACGAGGACATCCATGTCAGAGGGCCTTGTGTCGAGCCATGACAGGAGTCAAATAAATCATCATTTCTCCGCACTAACAAAACTGTTCCTTCACCATCAAATCTGCTCTTTATGCCCCAGAAACTTTCCTTTCCCTCATGTGCCTCTTCAATTCCCGTTCAGATCGGCCAACAACTTCTCCTCCTCCTCATCCTGCTCCTCAAAACTCCTCAACTCCCAGCCTTGCTTCTTGGCCTTTGCCATCCAATCCTTCACGAACTCCTCCCCGTGCCTTTCGTTCTCCTCCCATGACATCTGTCAGAATGGCTAGGAGGCTCTTCCTCATACAGAACCCTCGTCTTGCTGTCTAGATATTTGGCCCACCAACCTGACAACTTCTTCTCCATCCATGCATACAGGCGATTGATCATCCCCTTGGGTGCCTGATGATCCTCCAGTTTAATTTCCCCCCTCGCAATCTTCTCCATCAATGCCCGCAGGCTCGGGCTTATTCCCGCAGGTGCGTGCCTCAAAAACGTTTGGGCCTTTTCCTCCAATGTTCCGTTATATAATATATCCGCATCCGAAAGCGCCTCATCCGGTTTATCCTCCGTGGTGTCGGAGCTGCTTGTGCTGGAGACAGACTCGCAATCAGAATCCTCTTCGTCTTCTGAGAGGTCGTCTTCCTTGGAGGCAGCAAAGTCCGTTTCGACACGCGCTTGCTCTTTCTTCTCGTCGAAGTCTTCGACGGTTGGTTTCTTGTAGCCCTTTCCGCTCTGGGGGGCTTGGTTGTCTGGGATGTGACTGTGTAAGTGCCTGGTCATGTCGTCGTTGTAGGCATCATACGTGGTGGCGATGGACTTACAGTCTTGATGATCGGACGTGGTGCTTGATGTGTACGCGGCCTCGTCGGTGGGATCGCGGCCATTTGAGGTGTTGGGCGTCGAGGCTTGGAGAGCCGGGACGACGGGAGAGGATTGGTGAGGCATCTTGGTTGTTGGATGTGCTTGAGTTTGAACGGCTTGAGCTTGAAGGCCTTGAGTGGGTATGAAGAGCTTGAGTATAGAAGGGCTTCGGTACCTATGAAAAATTTGAGTGGATGTTTCTCTGTTGGAACCTTTACTTTGTGGAAACAAGGTTGAATTCTCGTTCAGATGTAGTGTTGTGGTTGTGGAAGAAAAGAAAGAATTCCTTGGGTCAGTCGGAAAGATTCTTTTATACCTACAACATATGGGCGAATGTGGAATATTTCTCAATCACCCTTAATGCAGAGTGGCCGGGCCAAGTCGCGAGCAGCGAATAAGAACTGCTTGCATTTGCGTCCTGTTGGGTGACTACCTCTAGGTAAGGTATTTTTTCATTGGCTGAAGAAATGTGGCCAGCATGTTCGATATCATGTGCATCTATATCTCTGGGTAAGTCCGATAGTAACATGCCAGGGCACAGAGTATCTGCATACGGAAGACGCGAGGCAGAACAGCTGCAGGAAGGCGGAAGGAAATTTAACGATAAAACAAAGCTGCCGGACAGCAATTCTCTGCATTGCATGCACAATGAGTATTCGGGGCTCCGAGGGACACAATACTTTCCTCCATTCCAAACTCCGTTGCATACCTCTATATATCCTTCCCATTCACATTCACATTCACATTCACATTCACATTCACATTCACATTCACATTCACAGTCTTTTCCTCCCCTTTCTTCCTTCACAACCACAACCAAATCATCCTTCATCTCCATTTGTCCATCGCTCGAGTACTGTATCCCACCAAACGGAGCTTCCGTCAGCCATTGTTCAAAATGTCCAAAGTCATCAAGTACCCCCTCCAGAGAAGAAATGCCTTCCGCAAGAAACCAAACCCACACATTTCCTACGGCCTCGTCAATGACCTGTCCAACATCACGGACCGAGTCTACCCCTTGGACCACCCCGAGCCACGAAGCATGATCTTTCCCACCGACTCAGTCATCTGCTGGTCCTCCCAACCCGAGGCTTCCATCCTATCTTTTCCCTCCGTTGAGTCCGTTGTCTCAAGCCCCTCCAGCCTCTCCAGCCCCGGGGTTCTCGACAACGTCTCAGACCTTGACTCCAAAGACCAGGATAACCTCAACGTTGAGTCCGTTATCTCCCGCATCTCGAGCCTCTCCAGCCTGTCCATCCCCGATGACGCCTCGGATTCCAACAATTTCTTCCACGTCCATTTTGATATCCCCCACGTCCCCACCGTTTCCATGGGTCCCTCCGGCCCCGGGGTTCTCGAAGACGTCTCAGACCTTGACTCCAAGGACCAGGATAAACTCAACGTTGAGTCCGTTCTCTCCCGCATCTCGAGCCTCTCCAGCCTGTCCATCCCCGATGACGCCTCGGACTCCAACTATTCCTTCCACGTGGACGTCTCAGACATGGACTCCGACGAAGAGGGTAGCATAACCCCGAGCCGCCTTGTCAGCGCCCAGGACCTCCCCGACTGGCTGAACTGGATGTCAGACAACTATCGCTGCCCCAGCTGCGACCGTCTCTACGACGATTGCGAAAAGGTTCGAAAGGCTGAGGAGGAGAGGTTACGGAGGCAACGGGAGAGGAATGATGGCTATGAACAACAGAGCCAGATTGAAACCTCTAAGGATGTTGTTTATGGGAGGAAAGTTCAAACTTCCGAGTTTGAGGGAAGGGACCGTGTGGTGGTTCCCGCTAAGCGGTTGAAGTCGCCGCCGAAGATGTGGAGGAAGAAGAAGGCGACTAAGGATGAGGAGGTGGGTGGGGAGAAGGTTGCGGATGTGAATGGTAGGCCTGGTGGAAAGACGCAGAGACTGTTCCAAGTACTGCCAGTACTGCAAGAACCGGGTTCGGGTTTCGGTGATAGGGAGCCGGAGAAGAAGAAGAAGGAGAAGGAGAAGGAGAAGAAACGGAGGTTGGTTAAGGGGTTCTTTAAAGGGTTGGCGGATATTGGTGTTTAATGTCTGCTTCCGCCTCCCTACCTAAGGTTGGAATAAGGGTGTGAGACATATCTTGTCTTGGGTGTGAAGCGGATGTTTGAGCAGGTTTGAGAAGATGTTATTTTGAATTAGGACACGCGTACAGATTTCGGAAACCTATACATTGGGGTTCATGGATGTGTGGAAAGTGGAAGGGGGGAACATCGCTGTCAGTTGGCTTATCTTATCGTCAAGTATTTACGTGCCTGGTCTGGACTTGTTGGTTGCTTCTTTCCCTGGTTGAAGACCTCGGAGAACAAACACCGCCGTGCCAGGACAGTTCCTTCCCCAGATACACAGATAGATGCCAATAAGAACTTGTGACGAATTTTATTCCTTCCAGAAACGAAACAACAAAAACACCCTGCTGTTGTAGCCGTTAACATGGCGGATTCTCAGACGCGCAAGCACACTTGAGCTTCCGCAGCGCAGGGTTCAAATTCCTGGTGGGGTAATACTTTTGTTCATTTTGCCTTCCTCTCCTTTGGCTCCCGGAACGGGTTGTTTTTGTTCGTGCTCGATGCCCTGACGTTTGTGACTTCTATGGACAGCGCTCCCATCACAAGGGTATCTCTACTTTGCAAAACTGTAGGCGAGGATGCTATTCGGACTTTGATCGATGTGAAGCCGTGGTGGTTGGAGACTGCACAGCTCGTGGTTACATGCAACTTCTAGGTTTATAGAATCGGGAGAGTGGCCATGGGAAACGTGGTGGGAGAATGTACCTGGTACAATACACCGCTGAAAGGTCTGATGACTCGAGGCCGCTGGTTCAGCTTGTTTAGAAGTAGGTAGGGTACCTATTTTAACAGCCAGTTTGTGTGTTTAATTTGGTTATACACAGGAAGCTGAACAGTGATGTGAATATGTTAATTCATAAATAGAAATGATGCACCTAGGTATCTGAGGTTTAAACTTTGGTGTTTCACGTTTACTCTCCAGCGTTTACGACGGCCTGACATGTATCATACTCGGAGTACCAAGCTAGGTAACAAACAAACCAGTGTTAGACTAGGTATATATGAGTACCTAGGATTAATGTGTCCCGTTTCTCCATAGGTCGCCGTGCAACGAAACGGCTATGTCGGGGCTCAAGGACAATTGCACTTGAGCTTTGCCCCACAACCTTTAGACTAGGAGATACGTGAAAACGGCTTGCCCGAGGCCAGACCAAGTGCCCGGTCATCAGAATAAACCAAATACGTGGCGGATCAATACACCAGACCCTTGGAATATCCTCGGATTACCTCCACGCATTTTGACCGAACCTTTCTTCATAAATAAAATGTTGCCAACCTGGGAGACAGTTGATAACATGCTTCCGGCTTATCATGATGTAAACTACAGTTTTGCAACGGACTTTCTCAGCCCAAGTGGGCGGCATTACCTCTACACTGTCCAGTGTCCATGTAAGGTTTATTCCTGCAATCACTTGCCGATATCCCCGAGCCCTCTCGACGTAATTTCCCCTTACATTTTTGATGCGAGGCGTCGACTACCCTACATGCAGACTCCGGCAGTCTGGCGCCGGGCCCAAGAAACGCATGATGGTGCGAGGTTTCCTGCATACATCTGACATTCAAAG